TAAAATAAATGTATTTTAATTTTATAGTATATACTTATATATAAATACATTCATGAATGTTTTTAATTAATGGATTTTATAATAATACAAATAGCAATGTGTAACATTTTACCATATTTAGTGCAACACTTTTATTTGTTCCCCACAAAATATTGTTTTTTCACTAAATGTTTGGATTTCTAAAATTATTGTGCACTGATTTTTCTAGAATAACTTTTGCTGCCGAATTATCGACTAACCTAGTTTATGATAAATTTTTGTCATAGATTATAAATATACATAGGCCTATATTTTTTCATATTTGTTTATTTTATTTTTCTTTATAATGAAGTAGTCTGTATCTAGTAGATTGTGAAAGAATGATTATCAGTTCCACACACAGAGATATATAAATTCTACATTTATTTAAATGAGGAAAAAAAACTTCACTGGTATCGGATCGGAATCGGTATCGGCCAATACCGAACCCTAGGTATCGGAATCGGTATCGGAGGCAAAAAAGGCGGATCGGAGCATCCCTAATTCCTATACCCTTTACACAAAGAAAGAAGCTCAAAGAGTAGTTCAAATAAATATAATTTGAGCAGGATGGGACAGACAATGGTTCTACACAGGGCCATCGCTAGCAGGGCAAAAGGTGGTGACATTTCTAGGGGCCCTGGGCTTGAAGGGTCCCTCCTTCCGGAACGCGTTTTCAAGGGGGCCCACAGCAACAACCTGCATTGGGCCCCGGATACCCCAGCTACAGCCCTGGTTCTATAAAAGATTTGGAGGCCTTCATATTTACAGGGCCCAATAGTAACAGGAGTGCCTGAGAGCCATCACAGACCAAAAGCCTTGTTCAAGAGGCATTGTATAGGCTAAGGGACACATATATTCAAGCATAAATAAACATGTTTCATTGTTGATGGGTTTTTCGTATCAAACTGGATCGCGCAACATTAAAGCCCATACTACAACCCACCAAAATCTTTCATATGTGCATGTGTGAGAGTTTGTTTCTCTCCCGCTGGAGCAGAGAAGGTTCTGTGTGGACTGTCAGCTGTTGATCCTCCCTGGGGAATCGGCGAATCATGCAAAACACTTTCTGAGGACATCACAGTGCAGCGATTGAAAAGGCCCTCTGGACAACAAGAAGAGTAACGCACAATATCTGTTTGCGGACCGGAGCTGTCATTTCCTCCTGGATATGCTCTTGGGGTTAGGCTTCCAGAAAATTCTCTGTGTTGGGACACCACGGTAAGCACAAGTTGTTACTACTATACATATTAATATATTTAAAAAGTCTTAAAGTGTGTCCAATCATTTTCCTGTCAGTAAAATTGGCAAAATATCCAATGTAATGTATCTCCACGTTTTAACTTTGCAATTGAAATATTCTCTTTTACACATTCACAGATTACATGAGGTGATTAAGTTACGGAATATGGAGGGCAAGAGTCCTACAATGAAGAGTTTATTGCTGGATATTGATTACAGGTAAACACAATACAACATAATTCTTTGCAAATACAAGCTTAAATAGCCACATATACATAGAATTACATTCTGTTAAAGCAGCACTGTGTAACTTTTTCTGTTCAAAATTTGCAAAATGTATATAATGAGCGAGTAAATCATGAATTCATCTTCCAAACCGCGTTTTTGTCTTATTCCGAATCACTACGGTACACTTATAATAAGTACTTATATTTGGACTATTGTAGCCTGGTCGGGTCGTCACCGCTGCGGAGTAACACATACCTGCGTGAATCGCCATAGACATAAACTTAGAGAAGTAGCTCCGGTTGGAATGTTCTTCCGCGGGATGTGTGCAGTTCTGTTTATTAACCGCTAGAGCGCCAAAAGTTACTTAGTGCTGCTTTAAGAGGGTGCGCCACTCTTTTTGAGTATTTTATGTTGTTTGGAGTTTAATTAAGTATTTATTTTTATTATATGCTATACTATATTTTTTACATTGTTTTGCACAAGGTACTAGAGTATACTAAAGTAATAGACTGTTCCTTAAAGTTTACCTAGCTTTTTTGGTACAAGACAGTATTATATTATATGCTTGCACTATTAATAACTGATGCTCAGAAAGATTGTCCTGTATCTAAGAAATATAATCTACATTACTGTTCAAAGGTTTGGGGTCTTTTTAAAGAAATTAACACTTTTATTCAGTAAAGACTCATTAAATAGATCAAAAGTGTCAGTAATATTATAAAATAATGTTGCAAAAGATTTCTACTTTAAATAAATGTTGTTTACACCCCCATTTTTGAACATACAGTTCAAAGTGCACTATCCAAACTTAAATTGTTATAATTCATGAATGCTTTTGAATACAGACCTAAGGTGGTAGGACTCTTTTTAAAGAAGACAATCACGAAATTGTTGCAGAAGTGGAATTATTTCAAAATATGAAAGTATCAAAAAGTTATAGAAGTTTACATTTACTGTAACGAAAACACACTGTACTATTTTAATTTTATTTTATATAAAATAAATATTTTTCATAACAGGTTTTACTCTAAAATTGCTATAAAATTAAAGCCTTATGTCTAAATAAGTTATGTTCCAAATTTGAAGTTGATATAAAAAAAATTGGGATTCCTGTGAGATTTTATTTAGGGTGTTATACCACAAACAGACACCGTTTGACACCCAAACTCCACTGAATTTTTTTTGATGCATTTTTCTGTCACAAATGTCAACATTTCTCTGTCAATTTTACTATAAATAAATAACCACCAAATATGGAATCGTGAGATTCAGACTGATATGTATTTTGTCAAGATTATAAAAAGTTTTGATTCTAAAAGACCGTAATACATTTTGTAATATGACATTTGACCCCACCTGCTAAGGGGGAGGAGACCGCCAAAAGATTTAAAGTACCATTTCCATGGTAACGCAATGTCCAATTTCAAAATAGTTAAAGGGTTAATTGTATTTTTATCGAAGACAAAAAGTACACAGCACAACCGTTTTCGATATTGCGAATTAAAGACTGAGATTGCATATTTCCATATGATGATGGCCTTTGTCTTTGGATGAAAAAAAGCAGAAGGCTGGGTATAGAGGCTCAGTGAATTGATGATGTGCTCTGTCAAACACAGCTGTTTGCACTGCTGAAAACTCCTGCAGCGTTCTCATAGTCTCAGCATCATAAAACACCAAACGACCCTTCTGATATTTTACAAACACCCCTACTCTGTTTGGTGCTGCCCGAGTTGCTGTGACGGGTAGTGCCACATGTCGATCGTTGTGCCAGGCCGTGAGATGCCCATCCTGAAACTCAAGACTCCACGAGCACCTGTTCCGTCCGAGCTTGGCACCTTTGTCCCGCCCTCTCCTCTGTAGGCTACCATAAGCCACGCCCACAGCCCATGATGGACAGCAGTGCACATCTACCTCCCAGTAGTGCTGCCCAGATTTAATAGCAACAGAGCCCAAGGCACAGTATAACTGATCAAACCTTAGAGGGTCATTGGGAATGCAGCGGTCCTCTGAGGAAAGGCACAGGCCCCGTCCTTCTGAGGTCACCTTGATCTGTTTGTGACAGGTCCGTTTGTCAATCACCACATTAGAGGAGTCTGTCAAAATGAAAGCAAGAATATTCAGAAACAGCTGATTTACCCACAACATATTCAGAACATTTCTTGTTATCCATTAGCTAATCCTTCAAATACAGTATGATATATAGAATATGTAATAGTCTAAAAGTATAGTATGCACTATATACACTACCATTCAGCAGTTTGAGTCAGTAAGATTTTTTTTTAAAGAACTCACTTAAATTCACGAAAGTTGCATTTATTTGATGAAAAACACATTAAATACAGTAATATTGTGAAATATTATTATAATTTAAAATAACGATTTTAATATATTTTAAAATATGATGGAAAGCTGAATTTTCAGCAGCCATTACTTCCGTCTTCAGGGTCACATTATCCTTCAGAAATCATTCTAATATGCTGATGTAATACCTAAGAAACATTTCTTAATTATTAACAATTTTGAAAACAGTTATGCTGCTTAATATTTTTTTTGTGGGAACCATGATGCATAAATGGTTTCCATGATATACAGTGGTGTGAAAAAGTGTTGGCCCCCTTCCTGATTTCTTATTTTTTTGCATGTTTGTCACACTTTAATGTTTCAGATCATCAAACAAATTTAAATATTAGTAAAAGATAACACAAGTAAACACAACATGCAGTTTTTAAATGAAGGTTTTTATTATTAAGGGAAGACAAAATCCAAAACTACATGGCCCTGTGTGAAAAAGTGTTTGCCCCCTAAACCTAATAACTTTTTCACACCACTGTATATATAATTACATTTTTTTTTTTTTCAGGATTCTTTGATAAATTTAAAGTTCAAAAGAACAGCATTTATTTTAAACAGAAATCTTCTGTAAAATTATAAATGACCCTACTGTCACTTTTGGTCAGTTTAATGTGTCCTTGCTAAATAAAGTATTAATATCAAATAATATAATATTAAATACAAGTATTAATTTCTCTTTTTTTTTTTTTTCTTACTGAGCCCAAACAGTATACACAGTATACATTTTGAACCATATACACACACACACACACACACATATATGTATAATATATTTTCAAAATATATATTGATAGAATATATTTTGTATGAACTTGATTTATTCAGATCAAAATTATGGATTTTAGGGGCTGATAGTGTTTTTTACCCAGCAGCAGGTTCTTTCGTTGTAGCTGGGCTTTCAGATCTTTTGAGATGTTCCTAAGAACCTTCATGATCTTATGGATCCTTTCCTCATTCATTTTGATCTCCTCTTCAGCTGGGTCCAGTTTCTTACGACAGCTAGTTGAATAGGATACATTGGAGTTATATAGTTATTTAACTGTAAACATTGTAACGTATTAGCATGTTTGCTACTGAAGAGAACATAGAAAAGCATGTTGTTTTGAAACATAATTAGGTCATCTATAAGTATTTGTATTAAGGACCTATCACAAAATCCGCTATTTGTGAAATGGAAAAATATGGGCTTACGTAAAATCCTCAGGAAAAGGCTGAAAGCAGAGAACATGCAGAAGAGAATATATGTGATCCCTAGATTTTGTCAACAAGATTATTACAATGATATGAAATACATGTTTCATTGGATGGTTACCTGCTTCAAGGATTCTGCTGGGCTCTGTTGAGCTGATTGAATAGTGCTGATGTGTTTCTGCAGGAGGCCAAGGTGTTGATTCCAGTCTTGAAGAATTCGGTTTAGTTTACTGCTGGTCTCCCGGCGGTCTTGCTCTATCATGTCCAGAACAGCCTTCTCATCCTCCTGCAGAGCCATATGTAGCTCCTCAAAGCACTCCTGTACCTGCTGCTTCATTGCCTCTGAGCTCATCTTCAGCAGAGATGTGTGATTCATTAGTTGTTTAACAATTTCAGTAGTTTACAGCAGAGTTGAGGCTTTATCGCATTCAGGCAGACATTCAGTCTACTTTCTTGGACTTAATTTTGAATGATTCATCAGAGACTGTTATTATAAACAATAATGTAGGAACTTTTCCTGCCTCTGATCAACTTCCTTGTTTGGCTGATGCCACCAAGCCCTTCACACCAACCACCGGCCATATAGATCACTTTTCAAAATCAAATCAACTCCCAACAGAGTTTCACTTACATTCAGGTTTGCTTGCCGCTTTTTCATAGATTCCAGATGGGACTCTGTTCTTTTCCTCTCCTTCTTCAAGTCATCCAACCAGACTGGCAGCTGTTTACACACGTTTTGTTATGTTTTTGAATTATTTATTTATTACTGCACACTACTGTTCAAAGGTTTGAGGTCGGTACGATTTAAAAAAAGTAAATTAACATGTTTATTCAGTAAGGGTGCATTTAATTCAAAATCAGAAAATTGGAAAATTCAAGAAATTCTGTTCTTTTGAATGTTATAATTTTTGTATTTGTATGTTTGCCCACAAAAATATTAAGCAGCACAGCTTTTATCAACACTGATAATACTATGAAATGTTTCTTGAGCACCAAATCAGCATATTAGAGTGATTTAATTCTAAAGGATCATATGACACCAAAAAAAAAAATCAGGTTTACCATCACAGAAATAGATAACGTTAAAATATTAAAATAGAAAACAGTTATTTTAAATTGTAGTAACATTTAATATAATACAATATAATTATTTTCACTGCATTTTGATCTAATAAATGCAGCCTTGGTGATCATGAGACTTACAAAAAAGTAATCCTTAAACATTTTAAAAATCTTACCAACCCCAAATTTTTTAACATTAATGCAAGTCTTAAAGGGGTCCTATTATGCTCTTTTACAAAGTCTTGATTTTGTTTTGGGGGTGTACTAGAACAGGCTCTCATACTAGGTTGTTCGAAAAACACATTATTTTTCACATATTTTACATTATTACAACACCTCTCTCCTCAGTCTGGCATGAACGGCTCGAATAGTTCCTGTATCAAATGAAGGCCCGCCTTCTGAAATACGAAATGTGCTGTGATTGGTTAGCTGGGCCAGTGTGTGTTGTGATTGGCACCACTTGTCGGCACCTGGTCGGGAAATGTCATGCCCCTTATCATAGCTGCCTGCGAGTTTTAGTGTAAATATTGTGTCAGAATCAAATCAATTTGAACGCGATTTAAACCCGGATGATTGTAACCGCTCTAAGTTCATCTGCCTTGGGAAAGCTTAGTGATAACACTTGTTGTCTTCTCTAGTGCAGCTCAACCAGGACTCGTCCTATTCGTCGATATTTGTGATATCACAAATCCCGGAAAATATGCTTTGTAGTCCAAACGAGTCGTTCGTTGTAGTTTTTAAAAAAGTGATTTCTGTTGAATAAAATATCTCCTTTTGAAGTGGACTTTGAGCTTTGTAACTTTGCATATCTTTTTTTATGCTCAAACAGCAACATTACAGACTAACTAAAGTTGAAAAAGTGAAAAAGCATAATAGGACCCCTTTAAAATTTCTTCACTGTTGCAGTCCGTGAGCAGGTTAGAAAATCTGTCATTACCTCTAAGGGTTTTGGAGAGATGGCTCCAGTTCTCCTGATCAGTTTTGGAGAGCGTGGGAAGGGCTGGGTAACTTGTGTCCCTGAACGAGCCTCGGTAACTAGACAGAAGGAACTGATTTCCTCTGATAAAGACCTAAAGTCTTTCTCTGCCATCTCTCCAAGTTCTCTGAGCTAATGGGAGTTGATGTGCAGAAACATCATAAATATCACTTTAGTAGTTTTTAGTGATCATAACTCTGTCATGTACAGTTGCATTATCTAATGTTGGAATGCAAAATGCAAAAAGTACAAAATGTTCTAAATTAGCTTGTTTTCTCAGAGGACATGAAAATGAGTTCCTTCTGACTTCCTGCTAATGCACAAAATGTCATAGCAAGCCTTTACTAGAACACACTGAATGCCAAAAGTTGCATTTATATCTGCGTAGCCCAAAGCAAGGAACTGAACATTTGAAACGTAATCACACTTTTGAGCAGCCTGAACTTAAGGCTTATGCATTGACATTGGCACATTATCAAGTTACACAGCTCTTGAAGTGCTTTAAAAAGTTTGATACTGGCTATATCTTAATGAAAATGTAAATTAGTTGTGTTCTTTGTCACTGAAATATGCAATAAAATAAGCAATAAAATGACTTACCTAAAAGACTGTTAAGAGAGTAAGTGAATGCATTTGGTTGTCGTCCTCCTGCAAGCACTTTTATGTTCGTCTGTGGAATGTGTTGAAAAAGGTGTGTAGCCCCTTTTAACAAGCCAAAGCCTGCTGCATATGCATATATGTGTGTGTGTGTGTGCACTTTTGCAGGGTTTTATAACCGACAGGATTATGTCTGCTCAATTCCAGACTTGTTGACCTGCAAGGTTCGGAAATAGCAGCAGATTGTGGTTTTTATTTAGCTTTTCTGAAATGCATGTTGACGCTTGCATTAAATGCATTTTGCAGCCATCAACCTCTTTGTTTTTCTGCCCTCTTAGGTACTGCCAGTTTTACGGACAGGATGAGTTCTGCCGCTATAATATGTTCAACCATCACTTTTTTGATGATGAGGTAAAAAAACAAACCTCCTTTGATGTCAAATGTGGTCACTGTAGTACATTCTGATAAGTCAAGATACGCTGTTTTGCAGGAAGCGGTCATGTTTTTTCAAGGCTTTCTGCGTGAGGAGGGAGGAGCCAAGGTAGTCATGGTAACAGAGCCCCCATTTGGAGGCCTAGTGAAGCCACTAGCCAACAGTTTCTCTCAGATGTCAATCACCTGGAAAAATCAGAATAAAGGTATGAGGAACGGCATGCATGATTTATTTTGATTTATCCTTTTTTTTTTTTTTTTTGCAAAAACTTGTACTTGTGCATGTTTTACTTTCAAACATACTGCATTATTAAATGCTGTTTTCAACAGTTTACCCAAAAATGAAAATTCAGCCATTATCTACTCACCCTCGATTAGATCTTTTTTTTGGATTTTTTTCCATTCTTCTTCAGTGGAAGATAAAAGTAGAATTGTTTTGGTTGATCTCACAAAAAGCTATCATATGGCTTCATTTGACTTGAACCACTTTTAAGTTACTTTTATGGTATTTTTGCATACTTTTTGAAACTTGAAACCCTCAGTTTCCTCCCGTTCATTGTAATTGCATAGAAAGGAGAGACCAGCACAATTTCTCTGAAGTTCTCCTTTTATATTCCATGGAAGAAATAAAGTCATACAGGTTTGGAATGGCATGAGGGCATATCATTCTTATCTGTTGTTGTTGATCTTTAGTAAGCAATGCAGCTGCGATGCCAATGATACGGATCTTCCCGTACTACTTTGAATCCCGTATCCTTGAGTATTTTCCCTCCTTCTCTATGCTGGATTACCAGGTATTATAGGAATATTGTGTTAATGTTAATAAATATAATGATATATTTACAGGGTTTAATAGTCCAGTGTTATTCTTCGTTCTCAGGTTGATTATGATAACCACCCTCTATATAAACACGGAAAGACGGGCCGTAAGCAGTTACCTGTTCGACTATTCACCAATCTGAGCCCTCAAAGATATCATTCTACCAGAGGATGAAGGTTACAGGTGCACAAAAAAACAATGCAATCTGAGCTTGTTTTGGCCCAGAAGAGATACAGAAGTTTTTTTGCTTTTTTTTTGTAGATTTCTTTAAAGGGTTTTTTGAGGGAGAACCAATTAAAAATACAGATTTCGATTGCATTGAGGGTTAAACATGCACTTAATCATTTTATTTTGGAGTGTAATTTGCTATAAATGCTGTTATTAACTGCTTTGAGGTGGTTTAATAATTACCACTAATATGTTTTTCAATCCTTCTCAGATTTTGCAGTGTTTGTGAGAGGTATGTGTCGGCTGCAAACAAACACTGTCCAAAGTGTGACACATGCCCATCGAAGGTAAATGCTGTTGTCTAAGTCAGTGTTTGGAATAGGAGTAGCTTAACTGACATTTCCCTATCTATCTCACAGGATGGGCGAGAATGGAGGCACTGTGATGAATGTGGACAGTGAGTGAAACCTTGTAAGCAAATCTGAATTCAGTTAAACTGTTTCCTGTTTATTTCTTGCTCTCACCACTTTCTTTCTGCTCTTATTCTCTCTCCAGCATGGCGTCATTGTTCCTCATGTGGTCACTGTGCTCTCCCTGATCACCCTTGTGGTCCGAGCCAAACTGGCTGTTTCAACTGTGGCAGCCAAAAACACAAACATAGAGCCTGTCCTAATACAAGAAACGGTGAGCATAAACCAGGCTTATTAAGAGTTTACAAAAAAAAAAAAAAGTTACTTGAATTAAAAACATTTACTGAAACATAATATTTAAAAAACGAACTTATTTCCGCTAGTTCCCAGGGCAGCATTTCCCATTTTAATTACTTTAACTTGATGTACTAAAATAACAAAAACTGAAATAAAAATGTAAAACTATATTGACACAAATAAAACTAATGAAATGACAAAAACACAACAAAATTACTAAAATATAAAAATTAAAAACTAATTAAAAAAATAGAAATTTTAAATATTAATGACAACTATAATAGTATCTCTAGACATTCAGAATAATCAGTTGATGCTATACTGACGATACTGTAGTAACATGTTTCTACATAACACCTAATTTATTGATTTCTGCACTCATGCAAACTGGTTTTTAAAGTATACTTAATATTAATATAATTCTCTTGAACATTTTGCCAACAGAATGATTGTACCGGGTGGTCGTGGTGCTCCAGGCCTGTTGAAACACATTGCTGGCAAATCCTCAACTAAGAACAAGAGGAGAAGAACAGTTACATGATCTCGCATCGCAGTGCATTACAAGAACGATGGTTTTGTGGCTGCTGAAAATTGCATCATAATCACAAAGTGAGATCACAAAGTGTCAAACGACTAACTGGTGTTAAACCTAGATGTATACAAGAAGGTTGTTGTGTATGTACAGCCACAGTTGTCTTTTTGCATCCTGTTTTTGTCACAAGCTCATCCTACATTAGAACTTTCTCAGTACAATTGACACGTTGTCTGAACAAACCTCATCCACGGTCTGGAGTAACATTTCAAAGAAGCTTTGTTCCAGCTTATGTGGCTCAAACAGTGACCATCTGTGGATAAAACCTTTGAATACAACTACTGTATTACTGGAATGGATGTCATTTTTGTATTTTTCAAAAATGACAAACAGATTTCTTGTTAAAGATATCATTTTTTATATATTTAAAGAAACTGATCCCCAGAAACCATGTCATACTTCCTGTTTTCAAAAACATTAAAGGAACAATTTATTGCCAGTTTTCAAAATATATTGTGATTTATAATCTATGAGCTTTAACACAAACAAACCAAGCATTTGGCTTGAATTTAAAATAGTCTTTTGGTTGATAATCACCAGTAATTATGGATTCAGCCAAAATCAAGTGATGCTCAGCACCTAGTTTAAGTTTTAAGCTTAGTGTTATTAAAAAGAAAGAAACGCCAACATTGGCTTCAAGCCTGTCCCATCAATGCAGATTTACATAAATCACCTGACACATTTGTTAAGGTTTTACAACACCAGAAATTCAAGTTATTAAAAATAGAATATTCAAATGAATAAATCATAATCCATAAAGTGTTAAACAACCGCACAGTACTTGTGTCTCATAATCTGCGATGCTTCATAACCCATTAAGCTGCCAATAATTTTGAATACTTCACATGGGTCTTTTTAGAGTCTGCCGTGGTTTGCTTTTATATGGTGTCGAGCCATGTAATGCTACTTTATACAATACTTACCATATTGTTAGGTTTAGGAATAGGGTTTGGTTTAGGGTTAGTTGCATGTAATCATGCATAATTTACTGTTATTATTACAGTAAGTAAATGTAACAAGGACACTGTAAAATAAAGTGTCACTTTACTGGCACTTTTGAGTTTAATGCATCCTTGCTGAATAAGAAGTATGTCTTTAAAAACCTTTTGAACAGTAGTGTATATTGCTATTTTAATAAAATAAAATAAAACTGCGCCAAATTAGTCGGATAGCTCACCTGCCCACTGTATTTTAGGATATTGATTTCCCCATGGCAACAAGATAAAGAAACCTGCAAATATGAGAATCAAGCCTCCAAGCAGCAGTGGCCGATCTCCTACCCTGAAAATAAACCCAAAACCAAAACAGAAATGATTTTATCTGAGAGCAATGAGGAAGTCATGTGTTCAAAAACTGCTAACGTCCATTATATAGGTGTTGGGTACAGAAGAAAAAAATGCAACTGACATTAAGTTTTCCTAAGATGACCTGTTGTAAGACTAAAACAATCAGAGGTTTTATGGCTAGTCATCTACAATGAGATGTTGATATGTCAGATTGAAGTAAAAAAGCAGGTCTACCCCAGAAACCATGTCATACTTCCTGTTTTCAAAAACATTAAAGGAACAATTTATTGCCAGTTTTCAAAATATATTGTGATTTATAATCTATGAGCTTTAACACAAACAAACCAAGCATTTGGCTTGAATTTAAAATAGTCTTTTGGTTGATAATCACCAGTAATTATGGATTCAGCCAAAATCAAGTGATGCTCAGCACCTAGTTTAAGTTTTAAGCTTAGTGTTATTAAAAAGAAAGAAACGCCAACATTGGCTTCAAGCCTGTCCCATCAATGCAGATTTACATAAATCACCTGACACATTTGTTAAGGTTTTACAACACCAGAAATTCAAGTTATTAAAAATAGAATATTCAAATGAATAAATCATAATCCATAAAGTGTTAAACAACCGCACAGTACTTGTGTCTCATAATCTGCGATGCTTCATAACCCATTAAGCTGCCAATAATTTTGAATACTTCACATGGGTCTTTTTAGAGTCTGCCGTGGTTTGCTTTTATATGGTGTCGAGCCATGTAATGCTGCTCCAATAGTGGTTAAATTCACAGTTTAGGTAACAAGGGAAATTGTAGTTCAACATTCAGAAATTCTAAAGTTATTAGATATTTACATTTACAACTCCATAAGGCTCTTCAGAATCATGATTTTTGCTACACAAAATAGCTAAACAATTTATACAATTGTCTATAAATTAACATACATAATGTTTTCTATCTTTAAGTCAGGCCCATTTCTCTGAACTGTCCTTGTGTAGTTGGTGGAGGCACCTGTCAGTCATCTATCCTTCCATGGCGTACAGAGAAGGCGATGAGTCGTTTGTACATAGCACTGAGGAGAACGACTGCAGCTAGTACTATGCCACATATGACACTGAAGGTCCATCGGGGTCCCAGGATGGTGTAGACGTGAGAGACGAACACAGGCCCGAGGGTCCGCGCACCACTTCCTGATGCTGTCAGCCAGCCCATGTAAACCCCCTGAGTTCACACACAATTGGGGAATGGAATAAATAACATTAATTTAATTAATCATCATGTTACTTTAATTTGAGATTTGAAATTTCAAAAGAGAAAAGTGTTTTACCTGTGGTTTGGGGCCCAGTATCTTGGAGTATAAAGTGTAGGACATTACGTTGCATGTTGGATAACCCACTCCAATCAGGATGTCAGAGGTAATGTACTGTGCGACATGAATTACAGGGGTAAACAAGCACCAGGTCTGTTCAGACGGGCATCCAGTGGGCTCCAGAGAAGTGTTTGAGGGTGGGGTGGGTGCCAGTCGTATTGTTGGCAGAGTGTTATTCTTAATGTCTGCTTATGGGGATAATATTAGTTTAATACACACAAATTTAAGCTGTAATATACTGTACATTAGCATTCAAATGTATGGGGTTGGTAAAAGTTTTGTATGTTTTTAGAAGAGTCTTTTATGCTCACAAAGGATGAATTTATTTCATTAAAAATACAAATAGCTGTTTCATATTTGATTATATATATATATATATATATATATATAATTGCTAAGTTTTCAGCAGCCATTACTCCAGACTTCAGTGTCACATGATCCTTCAGAAATTGGATGAGATGATATTGCAATTGAGAAATATAGTCTAGCAGGAAAAATACGGTCCCATGTACCCACTTGGTTTTGATTGTGCTTTCATTGCAAAGATATTGAAAAGACAACCCACCACCCAGCGGGGTCACTTTTGATGAGGTGGAGATTGATGATGATCAGTGAAACAGTTTTGATGACTTTTGCTTTCAATTAGCTGGTATTATCAGATTGCCAATCTATGCCACTTGGAGTGATACATTTAACAACCTTGCAATTGATTTAAGAGAAAAAGCTAGTTTAATTTGGCTAATGCAGAAAACTCTTGCGAAACAAAATAGCAGAAGTGATATTGTTATGAGCCTAAAATGTGATATTTGCCCGTTTTCACCAGTAAAGAGTGGTTGTACCATGTCAATGACCTTTCCATTTGATTCCTGGTGTCAGAATTATATGAAAAAGTGGGTTAATTTGTCTTTGTATGTGTGGTTCAGGAGTTATGAAAATCTGCATTTTTCGCCACTCGCATTGAAATCAATTCAAGATAGCCGCCAAACGAACCCCATGGGACATTTGTTGACCTCGGCAACATCAAAAATTCTTAACTAGACACCATTAGGGTCCCAAAAAATCAGGTTACAAAAAACTGGCAAGCAGGTACATGGGAACCTATTTTTCCTGCTAGACTAATATTAATGTCGGGAAAAAAAATCCAATGACCAAAATCAAAATGCCATAAACTAAGCTATTCAAATGTCAAATCTTAAACGTTTTTTACCGTGCTGAAACCACTTTTACCACCAGGAAGACGAGGATGGACTCAAAGCCAATGGCAGCCAATATGATACCGTTGTAAAAAACGGCTTCTTTTCTTGTCCACGCAAACATGTCCATTGATAGAGGAGTAGATATACTGTAGGCGAAAAAAATACACATGAATTTGAACTGATCACTAGATAAGCTTTTAAAAATTAATCTAGATGAAAGTATCACCACTGACGTTTCAAACACAGCAAAAATGAAGAGAATAACAAAGAAAAGGACATTAGATGTGAACACTGCGATCTGGTCGATATCACCTTCTACCTCAGGAGCCACATCCACTCGCTCTAAACGCAGAAAGACAAAGCACTGTGTAAAATCATTTGAATTATTGCGTGAATTATTATAAAATAGACTGTACAGGAACACCATTGTAATGCAACAGTACGCTACTTACGTATTTAAACAGTAAAATAAATATCTTTACCTTCTGGGGTGTAGTTAATTGCACGGATAAGCTGTCCATGGTCATCCACAAAGTGCTCCCTAAATAATTTAAAACATTTTTATTCTATGTATTGCTCAATTCAAGAACAGTCAAATAATGTAAGCTTTAGGTCAGACCTGAAATAAAACACTCAAATGTATATGTATTTATATGCTATCATATAACTATTGTTCAGCTGCCAAATGCTGCAAAATACTGAGGTTAAATAATTACCTCAAGACTAATATAACCAGCAGAATGTTAATGACCCCGAAGCAGGCTGCCAACAAAGCTGGAGCGGTGTACATATTAACCCGAAGCTGGATGACATTCACACTGACGCCAGTCTCTCCAAAGAATGACAAAGCAGCCTGCAGAGCTGAGAAATTAATACAGTCAACATCCTTTTAATGTCAATGATCCCTATTCAATTATATTTAAAAAATCACTATCAAACAAAGTTGGGAACAATTACTGTTCTTACAGACCAATTTCACTTCAAATGCATTCTGCAACTAACATGATAACTTCACACAAACCTGGGCCAAGTATAAAGCCGAGAGCTTGACAGGCGCTCAGATTAGCCATTGCACTGGTTCTCTCCTTCAGGGAAGTGGCACCAGCCACATAAGACCTCACAACTGCTACATTACCTACAGGACAGGATAAAGGACCTTAACAATGCAAATAAATAAAGTACTTTACTTCGTGCTTGATAATAACGGTTAATAATTAAATAAATAAATAAAATAATAATTGCATCTGCATTTGCTACAGTTTTGTACAAGAAATGTTTCTGAATATTACATTATATTGGATTGATAATCATAGTAGTATTCATTTATTTAAAGTATATAACATTCAAATTTATTAAGTTTGGGGTTGTAAGATTTTTTTAAGAAGTCTTTTATGTTCACCTATGCTGCAACTACTTGATCAAAAATAGAGGAAAAATAGTAATATGTGACCCTGGACCACAAAACCAGTGTCAGTTTTTCGAAATTTAGATTTATACATCATCTGAAAGCTGAATAACTAAGCTTTCCACTGATGTATGGTTTGTTATGATAGGACAATATTTGGTCAAGATACAACTATTTGAAAATCTGGAATCTGAGGGTGCAAAAAAATACTGAGAAAATCGCCTTTAAAGTTGTCCAAATAAAGTCCTTAGCAATGCATATTACTAATCAAAAATTAAGTTTTAATATATTTACAGTAGGAAATTTACAAAATATCTTCATGGAACATGATTTTTACTTAACATCCTAATGATTTTTGGCATAAAAGAAAAATCTATTATTTTGACCCATACAATGTATTTTTGGCTAATGCTACAAATATACCAGATCAACTTAAGATTGGTTTTGTGCTCCAGGGTCACATATTATAAAATAGTATTAAAATGCAAAATAACGGTTTTCTGTTTTAATATATTTTAAAATGCCATTTATTCCTGTGATGGCAAAGCTGAATTTTCAGCAGCCATTACTTCAGTCTTCAATGTCACATGGTCCTTCAGAAATCATTTTAATATGCTGATTTATTTTTGTGGAAACTGTGAAACAGGATTTCAGGATTCTTTAATGAATATAAAGGTCAAAAGAACAGCATTTATTTGAAATAGACTTTTTTGTAACATTGCAAAATGTTACAATTTTTACTGTCACTTTTGATCAACTTAATGCATCCTTCCTTGCTAAATAAAAGTATTAATTTCTTTCTCTAAAAAAATCTTACTGACCTCAATTTTCGAGATACGTGTATATAAGTTTACCTGCTCCAATGCCCACAAATGTACGAGCCAAAAGCATGTGAATTTTGTTGTATGAGGGAGGTAGGTAGACATAGGTGTAGTAAATGTTAGCTGAGACATTGATGAATATAGAGCAGACTAGAGGCTCTTGCCGAGGCCTGTGATTGGACCACAATCCAAAGAGGGGTGAGGCCACCATCTGACCCAAACTATATGCAGCAACCACCCATCCCAAGAAACTGGCATCTGCACTTTCATCAATCTAAAAAAGACAAATAGAGCATGATTGATGGACTTACAAGAGAGTCACAGACTAACAGGGCTTGAAAAATGACTGTGCAACTGTGAAAAAATATTTAGGCATTCTGATTCAAGTGACCCGATCAGAATAAATCAACAACAAATATTTATGTTTCGCACTACAGTTGGCTGCTTTTCATGCCTTTAATCAACAGAGCAAGCGTGAAAAAACGTGTACTCAGCTCAACAGAGGACTATACAGTGCGTGCATAATTATTATGCAACTGCAAGTTGATATTCTGGTCATATTTTTTCCCAAGCACATTTGACCAATTCCAAACCACATCAATCTTAATAACTACTATTCATTATAAATGATATATAATTGTCTATGAAGGATGGAAGTGAAAAACGCCTTATATTCAAGTGTGCATAATTATTAAGCAGGTTGTCTTTTACAGATAAAATTGAAAAGAAATTTAACTCAGACTGAAAAGTCAAAAATTATTAAATGGCCATGAGAAGGATGCAATACTAGAAATTGCAAAGTTAAGGCGTGACCATTGGAGAGCGAAATGCTCATTGGGTCAGCAGGGTCAGAAAAAACTGCTTAAGAAGAAGACACACATTAACTGCAAAATAATTAAGAATTAAGGTGAAGAATTAGGTGTGAAACCATCAGGAACCCTTTAGTCTCCTCATGGCCATTTAATGATTTTTGACTTTTCAGTCTGAGTTAAATCTCTTTTTTTGGCTCATTTTTAGAGCCCGACCGATATAGGTTTTTTGGGGGCCGATGCCGATACCGATACCGATATTAGGGAGTAAAAAAAGACTGATATCGATATATCGGCCGATATTCTTTATGTGTAGGCTATATTATAGTACAGTATAGTCAAAAGTTTGGACACACTTCCCATTCGTGTGTCCAAACTTTTGACAGGTACTGTATATAGAATACAGTATATAGCCCACATAAACAGAATATATATATGTATATATATATACACTGAACAAAATTATAAATGCAACACTTTTGTTTTTGCCCCCATTTTTCATGAGCTGAACTCAAAGATCTAAGACTTTTTCTATGTACACAAAAGGCCTTTTTGCAGTTTAATATTCACAGACACAGTCTATATGTAATGACCTGTTTTTTATTTATTCATCAAAAAATAAGACAAATTCCATGAAATTCCGCGTTATACAGTAAATTCCGTTTTTATGACTGGATTCCGTTTCTAAGTCAAGCTTAACTTAGGGTATCATACTTTGCACAGAATTTATAGAATTGCGATACTAATAAACGTTCACTTCACTCAAATCTCAAATGCACAGAATACAATTTGTTCCTGTAAATCAAACAGTAGAACATACTTCTAGAAACACAAGGTCATGGGTTTGATTCCCAAGGAACGCATCAACTAATAAAATGTATAGCCTGAGTACAATGTAATATAGAGTATGTAAATGTAAATACACTTACATTCTTCAGATATGGCCATATGGAGGTGATGACAATCGTAAAACCTAAGAAAAAACATTGCAATTACTAATACATATTACACGCATTTACTTTGTACTATACAAACAATGCAACTACCATTAATTTATCTACTACTAACTATAATATAATTGTAAATTGCAACAGCTGTACAGACAGATTCCTTCTTGCTACACCTTTACTATTTTTTATGAGGTTCAAAGGCATAAAATGTTGAATTGAACTGCACAGTGTACAATTAGTAGCCTGTCCTGACACTGGACAAACATCTTGCAGGTTACAGCAGGTTTTCAGCTCTAAAATGAATGGATACATTTACGTTCATTGAACCGGATAGCACAACACATCTGCACAGCAATGTTCACTGTAGGGCTGCACAATTAATCAAATTTCTAATCGCGATTACAATTACGGATGTCACAAATACGTAATTGTTCAAAGACTTACATTATTCTGCATGCTTAAGATGTGTGTGTGTGTGCGTGTGTGTATGTTTCTTTCTACAGGTTTATCTTAAGGGTTTTTTCCATTGTTTTCATTTTAGTTTTAGTACAACATTATAATACCATGCTTTTTTTTATTTAAAGTAAAAACCAAACCACTTGTAATTAATAATCACAATTACAATTTCAAGGGAATAATCGACAATTATGATTTTTGTCATAATCGTGCAGCCCTAGTTCACTGTCTGATCAGTAAGATCAAGTAAGTCAATTCAGGAATATGGGAATGAGAGAGTAAGAACATGTTTCTTACCAACACTGCTAAGGAACATGGTGAAATACATGACCCTGATGGACCTCCAGCGGCTTCTGTCTGCATCCCCATCACTTACAGAGGAAAAGACACAACTTATTAACATTCATGGATATACAAATTACAATCATAGCTCTCTATTAATTACACTTAAGCCTATTTAATTACAATGATTCCATGCATCATGCATGTTATGTGTGTATTATGACAGGAGCTCATGAAAGATGTGACATTCATATCTTCACTCCCCCCAGTGAGCCTAAACGTTCACACTGACGTGACTTAATCTATTTAGAACTTATCATGTTGTGCATTAGTGACAGAAATGCCCTTGTGACATAACACACAGGCAACAAAAACTTTCACAGTTCAGACGTCATTTCAGAACAGAAAACAAGATCAGCCCTGCCCGACTGCGTCATTACAAATGCAATTATCAAAACGTACCTTGTAATATCGCCTCTGAGAAGCGGAGTGTTTTCATCAGACTCCAAAAGTGACATTATTGGTGATTAAGCAGCTTGCGAAATGAAAAGACGACACGACTGAGTTCACTGAATGCCAGCTCTTTACATTGACATGCTCTTTATAATCAAGTTAACTTGACTGAAAACTGTCTGGATTTGCACAACACATATCTCGAAAACGCATTCAGGCCTCTGTATAATATGCCCATTTTAGCTGTTATAAGCACAGTAGTGTTAAGAGTAATTCGGCGTTATTTCACGCGCAGTCTACAGTCCATTGATTGTTGATTCAGCGCAAACTTCAATCATCTGAAACGTTGTCACTCGTGAACAGTGAGAAACAGAAAACAACAGCGACAACCAGACTTCAAAATAAAAGCCCCCTTACTATTAATTTTCATTTTTTTTTAGATTATTGTATTTATTCATATTTTCAATGTATTTAATGCAAATTAATTTTTAAATTAGCAACATTAATGCAACATTTTAATTTATAAAAAACTTTATATAATATTTTTTCAGTGTATTTAATGCACATACGTTTTTGTTTTAATTTGCAACATTATTGCAACATTTAATTAAAAAAAAAAACTATGCGTGTGTGTGTAGCAGGGGCAATTCTAGGATTTTCATGAGGGTATAATAATAAAAAACTAATAATAAAAAAATAAAATAAAAAAATGTTTGACTAATAGGATAGGGTGGTATACTAAACTTATTGCAGTATTCCATTGTATTGCATAGATGGGTATAAGTTAAGGGCAGGACTTACGGGGCCGGGGGCCCCTGGGCTTGAGGTTATGTTTGGGCCCCATACCTATACTACAAATGCCCTCAACTAGAACATTATTATGGAGTAACACAAAATACACAAACATTAAAATATGCTTTCAGGTTCATATACTGTATACAATTAATAGGCAACATGTCTAGCCTAGTCAAAGTTTAGATGTAATATTAAATAGTCACTATAATACAATAAACAGGATGTGATCTCTCAGTTGAGAGATCAAAACCCTGAAATAACACAGAGCTGAAAAAAAACAAAGAGATGTATTATTATGAAAATTTATTGTCATATCTGTGTCCTTTTATGTCAGATTCTTAAATTTAATAAATTCAATCTGAATAAAAAAACATGTTGGCTATTAACAATCAAGTGAAATCACTATAAACAAAATCCATAGATGGATTTTGCACAAGTTATGTTAAGTTTAAATATGTGCTATTGCTAGTAACTTGTTCATTTATTACTGACCGTTTAATAACTTGAATTGTCCTTATGTAACATTATTTATTAAAATGCAAGGTTACTTGAGTCAGAAACAATGAAAACAATAACTTTTTCTGGAGGTGTTTGCTTCATGTGCGCATGCTTTGGATGTGACCGTGAGCGCCCAGAAAACTAGTTTGGAGCGCGCAAGAACCGAATGGTTTAAAACGACTTAAAAAGACGTGCAAATGATAAACTTTTGTGATGATACACAACTG